CGATCTGATTTCCCTTCACTTATTTATTAGTCTAAGGGAAGCCTAGAGATAACAGAGAGTCAGTCTGCAGATGCGGAACCTCCACCTCCTCCTAAGCCGGACCTGAGTCGATACACGGGGCTTCGAACACACCTCAGCCTGGCTACTAATGAGGGTAAGGGCTGCCTTGAAATGTGAGATCCTAGCGATAGAAGACAGGGGAGGAGGGTACTATGTAAGCTGTAGAGAGAATGAGCAAGGGCTGGGAGATAATACTTGAATTATGGTTTACAACACTCAGGAAGTAGAGTGTTCTTTGGATAGCTAAAAGGAGGACTGCCAGTTAGCAATAGACAGTGATTTGGACTTTCCAGAGAACTACCCTTTACAACTTTATATTGTATATGTACATGGTGTGTGTGTGTGTGTATGTTTGAACTACTTTTTACAATTTTATATTGTATATGTACATGGTGTGTGTGTGTGTGCGCGTCCGCACACACGAGCATGCACGCACATGCTTGTTAGGTAGATCAAACCTCCAGGAGTTGGCTCTTTTCCTTCCGTTATGGATTCTGGGGATTGAACTCAGGTCATCAGGCTTTTGTGGCAAGTGCTTTTACTTTCTATGAGTCTGCCTAAATCAGGGAATTTCTTAGTATGTTTGGTGCATTTGCCCACCACAAATTCTGAAACGAGTATAGATCCTTAGTCTTTAGAAAATACCTGCCCCACCTGGGTGGTGGTGCATGCCTTTAATCCCAGTCTGTTCTACAAAATGAGTTCAAGGACAGCTAGGGCTACACAGAGAAATCCTGTCATGAAAAATAAAACAAAAGAAAGAAACAATATAGCCGAGACTGTTGAACTCACAGAGGTTTGCCCATCTCTGTTAAGTGCTGGGCTTAAAGGTGTGCACTTCACTCCTGGCCTTACTATTTTTTATTGTATGTGTTAGTGTTTGGCCTGCATGTTTGTTTCTGCTCACCACTTGTGTTCCGGTTTCAACCTTCTGAATAGCTGACTGTAGGCCTGTATCTAAAGACCAGACCCAGCTGAATCTTTAGACTTACAGCAAAATCTTGTTCCCTAGACTTTATACTTTTATTGGGCATACCTGATTTTACCATGTCCTTTCCCTGTACTTTCAGTAACCCCATGACAGTTGAAAGAATTAATTTGTAAAGTAGTGCTCCCTGGGTTTCCCCCACAGATAGCAGTCTCTTGGGCAAGGACAGCCCCCCTACTCCTACCATGTACAAATATCGACCAGGTTACAGCAGCAGCAGTACATCAGCCGCCATGCCTCATTCGTCCAGTGCCAAGGTACTCTATATTCTAAGAAGTGGGGTCATAACCCATGCCAGATCTTGAGGAAAGGAGGGGGGACATAAAAACCAAGGGCATTTTACTGATTACTGGTTTTAATGGAATTGAATTTCCTTTATGTGTTTTTCACCAAAAAAGAAACAATGATGAATTCTAGATAAAAACACTAATTAATACAAATCTGATTTTAGAAACCACTTCTGCCAAGTTGGTCTCTGTAAGCCTCATTTCCAGCATCTTTTTTTTTTTAAAGATTTATTTATTACATATACACTGTTCTGCCTACATGCCAGAAGAGGGCACCAGATTGAATTGTAGATGGTTGTGAGCCACCATGTGGTTGCTGGGAATTGAACTCAGGACTCCTTGGAAGAGCAGTCAGTGCTCTTAACATCTGAGCCATCTCTCCAGCCCTCATTTCCAGCATCTTAAAATGAGGTATTTTTTCCAAGTTACCGCTTTGTGTTAAAGGCTGACCATATGTTGTCCAAGTTTGAAATGTACCACTGGCATGTAATTCTGTTCTTCAGTGTCTCTTTGGGCTCTGGTATCTGGCAGCTGTCAAAAGGAGTGCTAAAACTGTTTTACTTTTTCCACAGCTGAGTCGTGGAGATAGCTTGAAGGAACCAACCTCAATTGCAGATAGTAGCCGCCATCCCAGCTACCGCTCGGAGCCCAGCTTGGAGCCAGAGAGCTTCCGGTCTCCCACTTTTGGAAAAAGCTTTCACTTTGATCCGTTGTCCAGTGGCTCACGATCCTCCAGCCTCAAGTCAGCCCAGGGCACCGGCTTTGAGTTGGGCCAGTTGCAGTCCATTCGTTCAGAGGGTACCACCTCCACCTCCTACAAGAGCCTGGCCAATCAGACACGCAATGGAAGTCTGTCTTATGACAGCCTACTCACTCCTTCAGACAGCCCTGATTTTGAGTCAGTACAGGCAGGGCCTGAGCCAGACCCACCTTTAGGCTACACCTCTCCCTTCCTGTCAGCCCGACTGGCCCAGCAACGGGAAGCTGAGAGGCACCCACGTTTGGTGCCAACTGGCCCACCACATCGAGAGCCCTCACCAGTCCGCTACGACAATCTGTCTCGCCACATTGTGGCCTCCCTCCAGGAACGAGAGAAGCTGCTACGACAGTCACCTCCACTTGCAGGCCGTGAGGAAGAACCAGGCTTGGGAGACTCAGGCATTCAGTCAACACCAGGCTCAGGCCATGCCCCTCGTACTAGTTCCTCTTCAGACGATTCAAAGAGATCACCCTTGAGCAAGACTCCACTGGGACGCCCAGCTGTCCCCCGTTTTGGCAAACCAGATGGGCTAAGGGGCCGGGGACTAGGGTCCCCTGAACCAGGCCCAACTGCCTCCTACCTGGGCCGATCAATGTCTTATAGCAGCCAAAAAGTCCCATCTGGTGTCTCTGAGACAGAGGAAGTGGCATTGCAGCCATTACTGACACCCAAGTAAGTATTTTTCTTTTCCTCTTTCCTTCAATGTAATTAGCAGAAGGTACCAAGTCTTTGGCTACACATGATTCTAGGTATAGGTAGACATTGGGGATCTTGAGAACTCTTTCATATTTGATTGCCTTTATGGACAAATCCTCTTAAGAGATTGAAGATTGATAATATGCCCTTAATACTATCTTCCTGGAAGTTTTATTTGACAAAGATTTAAGTATATGAGAGCTGAGGTTAGGAATAAATTGGGGAGAAAGAATCAGTTTTATTTTAAGCATGCCAGTAAAGTAACAGGGACTGGATTGTTAGGTAAGGAAATATGTGTAAAAGCTCCCCCACCCCATATTAGACCCTGTTTGTGTGTGCTTATGTTGTGTGCATTGTGCATCTTTTCCTGATGTCTGTTTTCTTTTTCCCCCAGAGATGAAGTACAGCTCAAGACCACCTACAGCAAATCCAATGGGCAGCCCAAGAGTATAGGCTCAGCTTCCCCTGGCCCAGGGCAGCCACCTCTCAGTAGTCCCACAAGGGGAGGAGTCAAGAAGGTGTCAGGGGTGGGTGGTACCACTTATGAGATTTCTGTGTGAATCTTGGCACCTCCCCTCCCCCACACCTCTGCACCTACACCAAAGGGCCTCAGGTGGCCACCTTCTTTCCCTCAAGGGGCTCCCTTACTTTGCATGGACATTTTTAAACCACCGATTCCAAGAGGATGAGGCTTGTTTTACAAAATGCCATGGGGTTGAGGAGAGTTGGGGCCCTGAGACAGGGGTGGCAACCCCTCCCCCCTTTGATCTTTTATGACCTTCCCTTCTTTGATCCCTGGACCAGACTCAGTGGACATTTGTGCAATTGCTCGCCCTGGAGGGAACCAGATCATTTTTAAACCAGAAATAATTTTTTTTATTATTGTTACGGATTCTATTTTTTTCCTCTTCTCCGTTACCAGGTGTGTGTGTACATATATATATATATTATAAATATCAAAGAAATTATATATCTATCCTGGGATGGGAAAACAAGGGAGGAATATACAGATATATATAAGGAGGGGGATTTTATTCTTCCCTTTCCTTAGACCAGCAGGAAAAGAGACATTAAAGTCTTCCTTTTCCCCATGGTTCCCTCTCTTTTGTCCCAGTCATCAACTAAGGAAATAGCACCCTCTGCTGGTGCTAAGTGATTAGGAAAGAAACCTCGGTAAGTCTAGGGTTCTTGGTCGGATAAAGGAACTTGCAGAGTTTTCTAGGCTCATTGACATCTTTTTCCCAGGAAAGGGGGTCACAGTTCCATGATGGTGATGGGAGATCAGGAAAAGAGCTTGACCTACTTTACAAAACATCAGGCAACATCCCTCCCCCCATTCTTGGGAGGTAGGGATGTGGTGGGCTTAGTGGGCCTCTTTAATGCTTCCCTATTACAGTTAAAATGATCTTAAAAATCCAAGGCCAGAGGAGAAGAATCCAAAAAGCAATATTTTTCATCATATGCCAAAAATGGGATAGAGAGAAGGAGTGGCCTAGGCCCCTCCAATTGTCCCCTGGGGTTTACCCCTTAGCCCACCTCAATATGGTGCTGGGTAGAGGGGGTAGCTGGATTCTAACCTTTAAACAGGGAAGACCCCAGCCTCTATACAGAGACCCTTTAATTTTTTATTCTGATTAGCCATTTTAAACCAACAAGGAATAAAATAAATCCTGATCTAACCAGCTCCCCCTGACTTGTGTTTTATCTGGTTAAGGCAAGATGAATGGTCTTATGGGAAGTCCAGAGGAAAGCCTCATTCTCTGGTCTGCTTTCATTCTGGCTATCACCTGCTGGGTGAGAGAAACCTAACTTTTCATAACAAAAACTTCAATCTTAGAGAACTGGTGTCATTCCTTAATTTCCTTTTTTTTTTTTTTCTCTCGAGACAGGGTTTTCTCTGTATTACTTTGGAGGTTGTCCTGGAACTCGCTCTGTAGACCAGACTGGCCTCGAACAAGATCAAGAGATCTGCCTCCATAGTGCTGGGAATAAAGATGTGCGCCACCACCGCCCAGCCTTTAATTTCCTCTTTAGAAAGTAAAATAGGGTGCTGGAGAGATGACTTAACAGTTAAAAGCACTGGCTGCTGTTCCAGAGGACCCAGGTTCAATTCCTAGTACCCACATAGCAGTTCTCAACTGTCTCCAACTCCAAGGTCTGACACTCTCACACAGACATACATGCAGGCAAAACACCAATGCACATAAAGTAAAGTAACTATTTTTTAAAAGTGAAATCAAAAGCCAAGCATGGGGTGGAGACTAGTGGGTCTCTTGAGCTTATATTCCTCATTGGCTGCCTGCCAGGTTCACATGGTGAGACGCTGCTCCAAAAAACAAACCCAAAACTTTGTTTTTCCCAACCAAATCCATTTTTTAAACTAAAGAATAAGGGACGTGTTCTATTTCTTGCCAGAGATTCATTTAAAAAACACAGGGAAAAAAAAGAGAAGGGAAAAGATAAACTTGTATAGCATACACGAGGCTTGGGGTCAGTCCCCAGAAAAAAGGGTGGGAGCATAATGAGACAAACACCAGTTTTGTTTTTTTTTCCTCCTGCTAAAATATACTGGTAATGGTGGTTTTGTTTTTTAATAGTCCCTCTTATTTTTTAACAAAGGCATAAACCTTAATTTGGTTAGCTTTCCTGGCGGGCTGAAGATCATCCAGGCACTTGGCTGTGAACATTATCGGCAAAATATTAGCAAACGTACTTTTTGTTTTTGTTTTTTTGAGACAGGGTTTCTCTGTGGCTTTGGAGGCTGTTCTGGAACTCACTCTGTAGACCAGGCTGGTCTTGAATTCACAGAGATCCACCTGCCTCTGCCTCCCGAGTGCTAGGATTAAAGGCGTGGGCCACCAATGCCCAGCTGTAAAGTTGCTTTTTGACTATGTTCTCTGCTCTAACTTTGATTTCCTGGCCTAAGGAAATGATGTGATGGCAAGATCTAAAATCTTAGCAGTGCCTTGTCTTAAACTGCCTCATACATAATGACATTTGCCTCTTAAAAAGGTAGCCATACTAGCCAGTCTGTTAAAGACACCTTTTTTTTTGTTGTTAAAAAAAAAAAAAAAGACCCTAACAATGAAGTCCTGAAATTACACAAAAGGGGAGGGACAAACAAACAAACAAAAAACAGCTTATTGTGAAAAGGGATGTCTATGAAAAAGCCAACTGGACTAAACCATAAAAAAGCACAACCCTTCTCTAAAAGTATTAGTCACAAGCACAGCAGGGGCTGGTCTCTGTCTAGCTGTTGGATACCCCAAGGCAATGCCTGGAAGACAGTTTTTGTCAGCAGGTTCAATGTAACAGGAAAGCCATCCTTGGCAGAGTTCAGTAGTCCTGTTAGCGAAGGCTGCTGCTGCTGCTGGCCTGGGAGCTTCCCATACCTGGGTGGTCTGGACTATGTCGGTTCTGGAGGAGACAAAAGGAATAAGAACATTTAGAAACTGAAAGATGACCTTGTTAGACATGGTACATGCCTTTAATCCCAGCACTCTGGAGAGAGGCAGAGGCAAATAGATCTTCTGAGGTAGAAGCCAGCCTAGTCTATACAGTGAATTCTAGGCCAGCCAAAGCTGTATCTCAAGACCTTGTCTCAAAACTTCAAAAAAAGTAATATAGGATGAGCCTGCTAACATAGACTTGTGACCTCAGTTGCTTTGGAGGCAGAGTTAGGAGGGTTGCAAATTCAAGGCCTGCCTGGGCAGCTCAGTCAAACCGTCTCAAAAATTGTCAATAAACAAGCAAAAGGAGACTGAATATGGCTCAATGGTAAGGCACTACCTCAAAGGGAAAAAGTCAAAGAACTAGCCTTGGCCAGCGTTGTAAAAGAAAAATGTTTGCCCTGGGTTTTCTTTTTTTCAAGATTTATTTATCACGCATACAGTGTTCTGCCTACATGCCAGAAGAGAGCACCAGATTAAATTGTAGATGGTTGTGAGCCACCATGTGGTTGCTGGGAATTGAACTCAGGACCTCTGGAAGAGCAGTCAGTGCTCTTAACCTCTGAGCCATCTCTCCAGCCCCCTGCCCTGGGTTTTCAATCTTGGGTCCAACTTGAAGGCAAAGGGTTCTATTTAAGAAGGGTGAGATGGGGGCTGGAGAGACGGCTCTGGTTCTCAGCAAGTACTGTCTTGTAGAAAACCCCAGTTGAGTTCCCAGCACCACCACAGAGTGTTAGTGACTCAGCTCCAGGGCTGAAGTCCTCCCTCTTCTAGTCGATATGGGCACTGCACTAGTGTAGGGAAACAAATATACACGTAAATTAAAACAAAAACCCTCTACCTTCTTTTTGTTTTTGTTTTGTTTTGTTTTTCGAGACAGGGTTTCTCTGTATTGTTTTGGAGACTGTCCTGAACTAGCTCTGTAGACCAGGCTGGCCTCGAACTCACAGAGATCCGCCTGCCTCTGCCTCCCAAGTGCTGGGATTAAAGGCGTGCGCCACCAACGCCCGGCTTTACCTTCTTCTTTTTCTTCTCTTTCTTCTTCCTTTTCCGTTCAGGATCCTCTTCTTTTTTCTTTTTCTTCTTTTTGTGATCTGAATCAGATGGCGTTTCTGTGGAAGACATTAAGTTTGATGTTGAGCTTAAGATCTACTGCTATGAACTCTTAAGGCTGCAGGAAAACCTAACACCAGGGGGACTGCTTATTTTTTCTGTGTGTCCAGAAAGGATATAGAGGTGCTGGCAGAGCAGCTGTGCCAAGTCACTGCTTGTCCAAGACGTGTCAATACATGAATTTCTTCTCGGAGAAATCTGGGAGTCCAGAGGAACTAAGCTTAACTGAAGGCCATGCAGACTTGGGCCAGGTCTTGGTAGTCTGAACAAAAGTGCTTACCTGGGGGAACAGGATCCTGGGTACGGCTCTGTTTATGTTTGTGCTTATTCTTCTTCTTGGGAGGCTGAATATGCATCAGACGACACTGCTCTGGCAACTGAGGGTACCAAAGGAAGGTTCAGGTGAGCAGAGAGAGCAACTCCCCGCTCCCAGTCTTGGAGACAAAACTACCTCCATGCCTCTGAGGCCTCCCCACTTGTTTTCTTCCTCCCCAAGAAGGGACTTACCGGGCCAGTATGGAGGCGGAAACCAGACAGCATGGTCCCTGTGATTGGATTAAAAGAGCTACTGAGAATAGGAGGCTTCTCAATGAGGGAGCGGAGGCTGCTGTTGTCATGGGAGCCAGGGAGATCAATCATCCCTGGCAGGTCAGGCAGGAAGTTACTTAGCTTCTCCTTCACTTTCTTTCCACAGAACTTATTATAGGCCTGTTCCAGGTTGTAGTGTGTGATTAAATTGGTGCTGCCTGTCAGCTCTGTGCTGCCTAGAAAACAACAATAATGAAGTTATTCCAAAAGCAGATGATAATTTTTTGTCACTAACCCAGAAGGAATTGAAGGAAAAAACAATTTTTGGGTTTTCTTTATCTGTATGTTTATTTGCCTACATATACACATGTGTACGGTGTGTGTGTGGTGCCTGCAGACATCAGAAGAGGGGGTTAAATCCCCTAGAACTGGAGTTACAGATGGTTGTGAGCTGCCCTAGGAACTGAACCTGGGTCAAAGGTAGACCATACTTCTGTTATCTCCTAACTCTCCAGCCCCATGAAGTTATTCTATTAAAAAAACAAAACTGCAGGGTGGTGGTGGCGCACGCCTTTAATCCTAGCACTCAGGAAGCAGAGGCAGGCGGATCTCAGTGAGTTGGAAGCCCGCCTGGTCTACCGAGCAAGTTCCAGGACAGGCTCCAAAGCAATACAGAGAAACCCTGTCTTGGAAAAGTTACCACAGTAACTCTTGTAATTGTGAGAAAGCACTTAATTGGAAGCTTGCTTACAGTTTCAGAGGCTTAATTCATTGTCACCATGTTGGGTAGCACACTGGCAGCATAGTGCTGGAGGGGTTGAAAGCTACCTACTGATCCACAGGCAGAAAGACAGCCTAGACCTGACATGGGCCTTTGAAACCTCAAAGCCCACACTTCCTCCAACAAGGCCACAACCTCCTAATCCTTCTATTTAAGGAGTTCCACTCTCGGGTGACAATAAACATTCAAATAAATGAGCCCATGGGTGCTATTCTTATTCAAACCACAATAATAGGATTCTAGCACTCAAAAAGTTTCAGATTTTGGAGCATTCCAGAATTCACATTTTTGTATTTGGGATTTGTAACTAGTAAAATCCACGCAAATATTCTGAAAAGCTGCAAAATTTGAAAAGTTTTAGATAACAGACACTAACTCTGAGATAATAGACAGGTTGTGGTGGTGTATACCTGTAATGCCAGCACTCAGAAGGCTGAGGCAGGACAGTTGCATTCAAGGCCAGCTTGGACTATATAGTGAGATCCTGCCTCAAACACCCCCAACTCAGTAACACATAATAAACACAAAATACTATACTATGGGCTAGAGGAATGGAAATGGAATGAAGCAAAGTAGGGCAGATAGAGACTGAAAACAACAAAACAAAACCAGACTAACGAGAATAACTTACATGACGCTGAATCATGTATTATTCCACTTTGTACAAAATGTCTCAGAAACATTTCTGCCTGGATCAGGATGAGTGCCACCATGCTTAGCATTCTTGTTTGTTTGTTTTCAATAGGAAGAAAGACTAGTCACCATAGGAAAACAGTAGATTTTTGTGGTTATGACTACCTTGTGACCAACATGTTTACTCTTTATGATACCAAGGACTACCCAGAAAGAACTACTCAATATGAGCAACTAGGTGTCCTCTCTGCCGTTGTTTCCTTTTATCTAGGTAATGGGATGATAGCTTTGCATTTCATTATTTTTAAAAAATTTATTTTATGTGTATTGGCATCTCCTGGAACAGGAGTTACAGACAGTTGTAAGCTGCAATGTGGATACTGAGAACTGAACCCCATCCTCTGGAAGAGCAGCCAGTGCTCTTAACCACTGGTCTCTCTCGCCAGCCTTGCATTTAACGTACAAGACTCTACCAATATATTTAGTGGCTGGCTTTTTTTTTTTTAAAGAATAGAAATATGCTAAAATGAGGACCAAATAGAATATTTAACTTACAACCTCACTGATAATTATGACAAAATACAGATAAAGTGGCTTGTTTATGATCATTTACTTGAGAAAGTTCGGATTCTGAACTGTGAGTCCTTGAGGATCGAGATGGTACTTTATTTACATGACGAGTCAGTGCCCAGGTTATACACTAAATGTTTCTGAAATAAATAAGCATCTTTCTTCTGGTCTAGGTCTTATTCCACCTTTTCCATCTTTTCATTGTCCAATGACTCAGAAGAGTGGTGTGCAACAGCTGGATCCTTAGCATTACAATGCCTCCTAACTGGCACTGCCTTCTGCTTGCCAGGGCTTCTTCCAGATGGTTATGTATAAGGCTCAGTTGAGAGGTACTTGGTGCTTTTCACAATTTATAGAAAAGGAGTTCAAACTGATCAAAGTGGCATATAGCAGTAATCCCAGCACTGAGGAGGCGGAGGCAGGAAGATCATGAGCTCATGTTCATCCTTGGCTACATGAATTGGAGGCCACCCTGGGTGACATGAGACTGCATCAAAGGAGGAAAAATTAAGGAAGTAAGTATCAGGGGGCTGGTTAGACGGCCCAGCAGATGACCCAGGTTCCATCCCCAGGACCCACAGGGCAGCTTACAGCCATTTGTATGTAACTCCTGTTCCAGGGAATCTGATGCCCTCCTCTCTGCACACACATGGTCACAAATACACATGCAGGAAAACATTCATACATATAAAATAAATGCTAGGGGCTGGAGAGATGGCTCTGAGGTTAAAACCACCAGCAGTTTTTCCAGAAGTCTTGAGTTCAATTCCCGGCAACCACATGGTGGCTCACAACCATCTATAATGAGATTCTGGAATGCAGGAATATTTCAGAGCACAGTATATATAATAAGTAAATAAATCTTTAAATAAATAAAATAAACACCAAAAAATACAGAAATACGAAGTTGGGCAGTGGTGATCTATGCCTTTAATCCCAGTACTTGGGAGGCAGAGGCAAGTGGATCTTTGTGAGCTTGAGGCTAGCCTGGTCTACACAGCAAGTGCCAGGACAGCTTCCAAAAGCTACATAGAGAAACCTTGTCTTGAAAAACAAAACAAAACAAACCCAGAAATAGGAGGTTAACTTCTATTTAAACTGCTAGTTCACTGATAATTATTTATAAAACCCCTTCAGAAGCCATGACTTCTGAAAACGAATCTTGAAATGTCAATACCATGTAAACTCATTTCTTTCCCTTTCTTGAAATTCTAAATCCTGTTCACATCACTATAGCCTCTTTATTCCAATTGGAACTCACATTCTGTAATTATAGAAAACAATACTTCTTAGTTAAAACAAGATAAGAAAACAGTAGTAGTGTGCTTGTGTAGCAATGTGGAAGGCCTTGGATGTGATTCTAGGTACTGGGTGTTTGGGGAGAGGCAAAGAAACTGCTACTTAAATCCCCATGATAAAAGCCACTCAAGTCACTCGGTGGTGGCTCATGCTTTTAATTGTAATTTTAGCACTTGGGAGGCTGAAAATAAGTTCCAGGACAGGGGAGGCAGAGGCAGGCGGATCTCTGTGAGTTCGAGGCCAGCCTGGTCTACAGAGTGAGTTCCAGGACAGCCTCCAAAACAATACAGAGAAACCCTGTCTCGAAAAACAAAACAAAAAAAAACAAACAAAACAAAAAAAAACAAACAAACAAAAAAAAAAGTTCCAGGACAGCCAGGGCTACACAGAGAAACCCTGTCTTGAAAAACGAACAACAAAAAATCATGGTACTTGAGCCTAATACTTTGTTTGTTTTTCCAGACAGGGTTTCTCTGTGTAGCCTTGGATGTCCTGAAACTCACTCTGTACACCAGGCTGGCCTCAAACACTCAGAAATCGCCTGCCTCTGCCTCCCAAGTCTAATTTTTTTAAATTATTATATTTTTAGATTTACTTTACTTTGTATGTATGCGTGCTTTCCCTGAATGTATGTCTGTTGGCCATATGCATGCATGCATGATGCCTACAGAAGTGGTGAGCTCCTGAGTGGGTGCTGTGAATCGTGCCCTAGTCCTCTGCAAGAACAAGTGCTCTTAACCGCCGAGTCAACTCTCCACCCCTGAGCCTAATGTGTTTTAAAAAATGATTTTTAAAAATGTTTTTGAGATGGGGCTGGAGAGATGGCTCAGTGGTTAAGAGCACTGACTGTTCTTCCAGAGGTCCTGAGCAACCACATGGTGGCTCACAACCACCTTGAATGAGATATAGTACCCTCTGCTGGCCTGCAGGCAGAAGGCTATATACACAATAACTTTAAAAAAAATGTTTTTGAGACAGTCTCTCTCTTTCTAGTGTTGGATGACTTGTAACTCCCTATGTAGACCTAGTTGGCTTTCAACTCAGAGAGACCCTCCTGTCTCTGCCTCCCAAGAGCTGGGATTAAAGGTGTGAACTCAGCCTGAAAGATTTATTTTTACCTCATTTGTCTGTATATGTGTTTGTGATATGTGAATGCCTTCTACATATTATTTGAGTGCTTGTGGAGGTAGAGGGTGTTGGGTTCCCTGAAGCTGGAGTTATGGGTAATTGTGAGACTCCCATTGTAGGTTCTGGGTACCAAGTTGGGGTCCTCTGGAAGAACCAATTGCTCTTAACCTTGTAACTCTGGAGCCGTCTCTCCAGCTTCCCTGGCCATTTTTGAGATAGGTCTCATGTAGCCAAGACTGGCCTTGAACTTTTGATGCTGCCAAGGATACTTGGACTCCTGATCTTCCTGCCTACACTTCCCAAGAGCTGAGATTACATGTACCACCATGTCTGATTATCAAGTATGGGGGACTGAATACAGGACTTCATGCTTACTAAGCATGTACTCTACCAACTGAGTTACACCCCCAGCTTTCATATATATATATATATTTGTTTTTTGTTTTTTTGAGACAGGGTTTCTCTGTATTGTTTTGGAGGCTGTCCTGGAACTCACTTGGTAGACCAGGCTGGTCTCGAACTCATAGTGATCCGCCTGTCTCTGCCTCCCGAGTGCTGGGATTAAAGGCGTGCCCTATTCATATTTTTATGCCAACTTTGCTTTGGAGCCCAATCAACCACTATTGTACTACTCTTCCATGCAAAAATTTTCTTTTCTTTTTTTCCTTCCTTCCTCCTCCTCCTCTCCGCCTCTTCTTTTTTAAGGCTTTTTGAGACAAGGTCTCTCTGTGTAACAGCCCTAGCTGTCCTGGAACTCACTCTGTAGACCAAGTTGGCCTCAAACCCACAATCTGTCTGTCTCTGCCTTCCAAGTACTGGGATTAGAGGAATACACCACCTCTGCCCAGCTGACAGCCTATTCTTGTTGTCGTTTTGGCTAACAACACATTCTGAAAACCATCAGTTCTTAACATTTTCCCTAAGATGTTTGAAGCAAGACTACAAAGTAATAAGATTGACACCAACAAAAAAAAAACAAAAACAGAAGCACAGCCAGGCATTGGTGGCACACGCTTTTAATACCAGCACTCAGGCAGAGGCAGGTGGATCTCTGTGAGTTTGAGGCCAGCCTGGTCTACAGATGGAGTTCCAGAACAGGCTCCAAAGCCACAGAGAAATGTGTCTCAAAAAACAAAAACAAAAACAAAAAAAAAAAAAAAGAAAGAAAAAAAAAAACAAAAGCAAAAAAAAAAAAACCAAACCAATTACAACCCTTAAACCATGTATTTTGAATCTCAGATAAAAATAAGCTACCTAAAGGCCAGGCTTAGTAATCTCCACTTCTCACACCATTCCTCCCTCCATTCCTATATACCCAGCATTTGCCTAGAACAGAAATCAGCATGTGCAACTGATTCACACAAACAGTACAATTAGAACATGTAATGCAAAAGATAAAGAGAGCTGGGCACGGTGGCACACACCTGGAGGCAGAGCCAGGTGGATCTCCGAGTTCAAGATCAGTCAGGTCTACAGTGAATTCCAGGAAAGCCAGAGCTACATAGTGAGACCCTGTCTCAAAATCAAAACAACTAAAATAAAACTGTTGGAAGACACCTATCACTAAAGCAATTTCTTTCTTTTCTTTTCTTTTCTTTTTTTTGAGACAGGGTTTCTCTGTATTGTTTTGGAGGCTGTCCTGGAACTCGCTCTGTAGACCAGACTGGTGAACTCACAGAGATCCGCCCTGCCTCTGCCTCCAGAGTGCTGAGATTAAAGGCATGTGCCACCAACACCCAGCTTGCAATTTCTTAATTTCTTTATGCTTGTTTCTCAATTATAAAATACAGACAATACCCATCTTAAAGGGCTACAATAAGTATTACATATTGTTACACACCGATGTGAAATTCAAATTATTTTCCAAATAGCTACTGGAATGAACTGAGGACCTTTTTTGAAGCAGGATCTCATGTCACCTAGGCTGGGCTTGCACTCCAGATCTTCCTGCCTTCAACTCCTGAGTGCTGGTGTGTAGTACCACAAATTCCTAAGACTTAAAATGTCCAGAACACCTCTTGATTTTGAGGCCTTCAAACTTTTTCTTTCCACAACTTCCAACTCTCAGACTATCCTACCCTCTGTACAACACCCCCCCCCCAGATCTTCTCTCTTTTTGTATTTCTTTATTTCTGTAGGCTCTGCCTCTAACATGTATCCTGTATCCATTCACTTCTCCACAGCTAAGATTTGGTCCAAACCATTAAACACCCTATATTGCCTTAAAGGCCTTTGCCTATCTCCCATCACTACTGGATTTGTTTTACTCGAGTCCAATCTGTCTTTTGCCCCTTAGATATGCCAAGCTTTCCCCCCAGTCTCCTGATCGATCAAGTCTCTGGTATCTGAAAGTATCTCTTTTCTGTTCACGGATAGCTTTGTTTACTCTTGAAAACTACCTACTCAGAGAGAATCTGTGAAAACACCGCCTCATGGCAGTCAAGAGTCCTACCACTGAGCCACGCGTCTCCAATTTCCAAACAACTGTATGAATGAAAGGATTGGTTCAATTTTAATATTTTCTTTGAACATGTTAACCTCCGAGTCCCTGACGAGGGTGGCAACTGACTATATACCCGACAGACTTTAAAGTCTTAGCGTCTCCACAAATGTTAAATCAGGTCTCCCGAGTTCCAAACAATGGCTCACGTTTTTATAGAGTCACAAACGGCGGTCCGAGAACCCGATCAGAACTTCTCGCCAGAAGTAGTCCCAGATAGTCACACCCACCCCAAATCCATCCCATGAAACCAAGCTATCTCTTAGGGTTACGAATCGCCCAAGAGCTTCTGACTCTTGAGCTGCCCCCTGGCCTCGCGTCGCCCGTTACTTCGCACCTCGCACAGCAGGCTGAGAGCCACACCTAATCTAGTATCTGATTGGCTGCCTCTGGCCCCACTCCTCACCCGGCAATTCCCGCATAAGGTAGAAGGGGCCGCTTCCAGCAGTCGATTTGTCTGCGCCCGCGGTGGCCGAGGTCGCAGTCGGGGGTGGGGCCGTGCCTGGACCACCTCCCGGAGGAGGCGGAGGGGGCGGGGGCGGCTTTCCAGGCCCGAAACCCAGGGCGCTCGGGGGTGGTTGGGGGTCAGCTTGAGCTCCAAACAGCGCCGTGAAATTCTCCATAGCACTCTCGGCTCCAGCATTACCCGGGATCTGGCGTTAGTGACTTTCATTGGACAGTACTTTCACAGGGTACCACCCTCGTCCTCCAAGAGTTTCCCGTCATTGGATGCATTAGACCCCGCCTACCACCTTCCGGTAATTACTTCCGTCGCCCTAAGCGACAGTTCGGGAAGTAGTTCGCCGCCTTGCAGCCAATAAAATGACTCAGGTAGAAAAGCGACAACTCTGTGGACCAATAGACTGTCTAACTCATTTTCTCATCTATCGTAGCCCCCAATAAGACATCTACATCCGGGTCCGTAGGCGTTGCATCTGATAGTTTGGCCCAGTAGAAGCCTCGCTGGTCGGGGGCCGAACGGAGCCTGCCAGAGACCAGGCCGGGAAGATGGCTGTTCTCGCGCCTCTGATTGCTCTGGTGTACTCGGTGCCGCGGCTTTCGCGATGGCTGGCTCGACCTTACTGCCTTCTGTCTGCCCTGCTCTCCGCTGCTTTTCTCCTTGTGAGGAAGCTGCCGCCGATTTGCAACGGTCTCCCCACGCAGCGCGAAGATGGCAACCCTTGTGACTTTGACTGGGTGAGCGCCCCCTGCCTCAGCTCTCGACCTTGAGCATCCCTGCCTCTGCAGGTGCATCTGGAAGTATGGGGGGAGATTTCGGGACGCAACCGTCTAACAGACTGAATGGAGATCCTAGACCGTTACTAGTCTTAACCTCCTTGTTTAAGATGGAGAAGCAGATTCCAGGGTTTCCTTCACACATGAACAGTCTTCTACGGTGATGCCAAACTTCCTGGAGCGCCGGTGAGGAAGGCCGGCAAGCCAGTAGTAGAAATACCACTCTTAAGCATTTATCTATTTATTTGACAGATAGATCGCAGTGTAGTTATTATTTATTTATTTGGCAAATTGATCTCGGTGTTGTTAGGCGGCTTTCCCAAGGTCACACAGCATTCAGAAAAGGCTATCTAATCTTGTTCAACTCTGATTGGTCGGCCGACTTAGGTCGCTAACTCAACAAAATGACTTAGGTGGAAAAGCAACCACACGACTACCCTGGCCACCGTAATTGCACATACTGTCATCCTCGGGGGGGGGGGATAGAAAAACAGATTACAAAAACACGAGGAGCGCTCGGGGAGCCTCTCATCGTTTGAGAAGCAATAATTTCAGAACAATTAACATTTGCTGTGAAGGTTGTGGACATAGAGCTAGTATTCCTCCCCTATTTAAATATTTATGTTAAAACAGCAATGATCCTGGGTCTAGAGTGATGGCTCAGTGGATAAGACCACTAGCTGTTCTTCCAGAGGTCCTGAGTTCAAGTTCCAGCAACCACATGATGGCTCACAACCATCTGTAGTGAGATCTGGTGCCCTCTTCTGGCCCGCAGGGATACATGTAGACGGAACACAAATTGCAATGACCCAGACTTAAGGACTGAAGGTATTACTGTAACCTTGGGTATGCCTCATTTCTTTCCTCAGACATTTCTGGGACTCTCAAACAAGATTACTTACTTTGTTTACATTAAAGATACTATACTTTCGCAGGATTTGTATTGTGCCTCTTTAATCCCAGCACTCTGGAGACAGAGGCAGGTGGATCTCTGTGAGTTTGATGTAAGCCCTCCTGGTCTATATAACACATTACAGGTCAGTCAAGACTACATAGTGAGATCCTATCTCAGAAGGACACCACACCAGATACCCTACTTTCTCCATTCCTGTGCTCTAGAGTTGTACCTTATAAATTGTAAACTGGGTGATGGTGGTGCAAATATTTTAATCCCAGCACTTGGGAGGCAGAGGCAGGTGGATCTCTGAGTTCGAGGCCAGACTGATCTACACATTGAGTTCCAGGACAACCAGGGATACATAGTGAAACCCTGTCTCAAAAAAACAAGAAAAAGCCAGGTGGTGGTGGTGCACGCATGCCTTTAATCCCAGCACTTGGGAGGCAGAAACAGGTGAATCTCTGTGAGTTCAAGGCCAGCCTGGTCTACAAGAGCTAGTTCCAGGACAGGCTCCAAAGCCACAGAGAAACACTGTCTTGAAACCCCCCACCACCAAAACAAACTAAATAAATAAAAAATAAAGACAAAACTATATAGTAAGATCCTTCCTCAAAACCAAATGACAGAAAAGAACCCAGCACTTGAGAGGCTGAGGTGGGAGGAGCATGGTGAGTTTGAAACCTGCCTGGACTACACAGTGAGACGGAGGAAAGAACTGGAAGTTAGCCCATAACCTCCACATGTGTGCTGTGCCACTTGCATGGGGGTACACACACAAAGTGAGTAAATGTTATTAAAAAAGAAAGCCAGTGGGACATGGTGATGTGCCATTGTAGTCCTCTAGAGGCTGGGGCAGGAGAAATGCCTGGGCAAGAGAGTGAGGGGAGGTGTCCAGGAGAGAAGGGGAGGAAGGGAGGAAAGAGAAAGAAGAGAAAAGCTAACGGTCAGGGATTTGCCGAAAGATACCATTCAGTTGCCAGGAGGAGACTCTCACCCTGGCTCTTTTGACTTGTTGATCTCACTGCACCTAGCCAGCTCCAGCTCTTTCTCTATTACAACCCACGCTGGGTCTCTTGTTTTGCCCTCTACCCCACCAGCTTCATTCATTGCCGTCTCTGATTGTCTTCCAGAGAGAAGTGGAGATCCTGATGTTCCTCAGTGCCATTGTGATGATGAAGAACCGCAGATCCAGTAAGCTCACCTGCTTTGTTTGCTCTGGCTGGGCTAGGCCTCACGCCCCGAGAAGCTCCTTTTTCGAGTTATTGGAGGAGCATGCTTAATGAACTAGTTCCACATTTCAGGCCAGGGGCTGGTTTGACCTTGGACTTCTGCACCCCCTCCCTCCTGTTCCCATTTCCAAGTACCCCAGGAAGAGGGCAAAGAGTGGGAACTTTCAGCCCAGCCTGACTGTGGTATCTCTGTGTTCCAGTCACCGTGGAGCAACATGTAGGCAACATCTTCATGTTTAGTAAAGTGGCCAATGCGATTCTTTTCTTCCGCCTGGATATTCGAATGGGTCTACTGTACCTCACACTCTGCATAGGTAAAGAAATGGCTTTTATTACATTACAGTTCTATAATTAATAATTTGGAATAGTAAAGTTTTTTGATAAAGGCTTGATTTTTTAAGGACCAGATTCCAATCTTTATCTTATACCTAATGACTTGTGTTTGCAGCTCTAATTTATTTATTCTTATTTTTATGTGAATTGGTGTTTTGCCTGCATGTATGTGTGTGTGAGGGTGTCAGGTCTTGGAGTTATAGATAGTTGTTAGCTGTTATATGGGTGGCGAGAACCGAGCTCTGGTCCTCTGGAAGAATAGTCACACTCTTAACCGCTAAGCCATCTCTCCAGCCCATATTTGTAGCTCTTAATTATATGTAGTTGGTAGGTATTTACTTAGACAGTATTTTAAGAGGAATATGTGCTGGTGATCCCTGTACACATGTGCATTCTTTGATGTCTGAAATTCCTGAGTGGATTTGCAAGTAAAGACGCTATATGTTATCTCTGACGTCTTTTCTCTGTGTCTAGTGTTCCTGATGACCTGCAAGCCCCCCCTATACATGGGTCCTATATGTTATCTCTGACGTCTTTTCTCTGTGTCTAGTGTTCCTGATGACCTGCAAGCCCCCCCTATACATGGGTCCTGAGTACATCAAGTACTTCAGTGATAAAACCATTGAAGTGAGTGCTCTGCTTTCTGTTTCTTGGGCCCTGCTTTGTGGTTTTGTGCTCTTCATTCATAAAGATGGTGCCTCAGGAGGGAAGTTGGCAGCTGGGGTTGGTAGTGCATACTTGTTACCCTGGTATTTGAGAGACTGGGATAGGATTGCTACAAGAATTTCCTTTTTTTCTTTCCAGTTGTTTGCTTGTTGGTTTTGTTTTTCAAGACAAGATTTCTCTGTGTAGTCTTGATAATCTTGAAACTGCCTCCATAGACCAGACTGGCCTAGAAAGAAGAGATCCACTTGCCTCTGCCTCTTAGGAGTTGCTATTAAAGGTGTATGCCACCATCACCTAGTGGACTGATGTATATGTGAGGCCAGTGTGGGCTACGTAGTGAGTTCCAGGGTAGCCCCAGCTACATAGTGAGATTCCGTCTCAGAAGAAAGACTGGTAGGCTGATGAGATGGCTCATCGGGGGTTTGCCACATGAGTCCTGCCGCCCTGAACTTGATAGAAGCACAGACTTGTCCTCTGACTTCCATATGTGCACCATGGCGTATACACAATAATAATAAACTTACAAAAAAAAATTAGTGGGTAAAATGAAGGTCCTTGGTGCCAACCCTCAGTCTTTAGTCTGACTTAAGTGGGCTGTGGCACATGTGCCTGTACCCACACAATAACTGCAATTAAAAACTTTAGGTTGGCCAGGCGGTGGTGGCGCACACCTTTAATCCCAGCACTCGGGAGGCAGAAGCAGGCAGATCTCTGTGAGTTTGAGGCCAGTGTGGTATACAGAGTGAGTTCCAGGACAGGCTCCAAAGCTACACAGAGAAACTCTGTCTTAAAAAAACTTAAAAAGAAAAAAAAAAGAAAAAGTTAATTAAAAATTGGTCACCAGGTGGTGGTAGTGGTGGTACACACCTTTAATCCCAGCACTCTGGAGGCAGAAGCAGGGGTATCTCTGTGAGTTCGAGGTCAGCCTGGTCTACAGGCTAGTTCCAGGATAGGGCAGTTTCCCAGAGAAACCCTGTCTCAGAAAAGAAAAACAGTTGATCATTTTGCTTATGGTAGAGCATTTTGCCTCCCATGCAAGAGGCACTGGATTTAATCTTTGGTACCAACCAACAAACCCGAATAGGCTGTCAGGGCACTGGTTCATTGTGGGGAAGGAAGCCCAGGATAAGGAGTTAATCACAGGTCTTGCCAGGCAGCGGTGGCATGCGCCTTTAGTGCCAGCACTTGGGAGGCAGAGGCAGGTGGATCTCTGTGAGTTCGAGACCAGTCTGGCCAGTCAGGACAGGCTCCAAAGCCACAGAGAAACCCTGTCTGGAAAAACGGAAAAAAAAGAAGGAGTTAATTTCAGCCTAATCTCTCTCCCCTTTGTGCGGTAGGAAGAACTGGAGCGGGACA